TCCCCCGTGCTCCCCGGGGTTGGGAGTGGGTTGCCGCTTGCAGGAGCTGCGGGGTGGGGCGGAGGCGCCCTGGTGCGGGCTCAGCTTCATGTGGTGCTTTGGAGAAACAGCCGTGTTTGTTTACGCTGCTCGTCGGCTGTACGCTTTCTCGGCTTGAAGGGGCTTCTTGATCTTAAAAAAACAACTTGGGGTGCCACTGATGGGTAAATGATATCTTGCGATCTAACTTCCTATGTTTGGTGCGCTTTAAGAAACTCGGTAGGGAGAGGGAGAGTTAAAAACCGGACAACGCTTCTGCTGATGTGCCAATTCTGGATTGCTCTGCTGTCCATAAGCAGCACATCTAAACAACGAGTATCTAAATTCACGTTCCTGAGTTAGCAGTAGACTGGTTTAAATGCTGAGTGCCTTAGCATGTTTTGTAGTCAGTGAGAAATGCCGGTGTCTCTCAGGTACAACTGCCGAGTATAGCTGGTTTTGCCATCATGTGCCGTGCTCCTGATTGTGTACGGTATATGTCAGTTGAAACAACCTTTCTGTTGCAGCTTCATGACTGCATAGTCTTCAGAAGCAGGCCCCCCAAACTGCTTAGTGTAAGGCTTTAAAATTGTTACCTTTATGTGACGCCTCTAAGCTGCTTATCCATGAGAAAGTTGGAGGCTAAGAGCTTACGTAGAAGTCTGCTATCTCCTGGATTTGAGAACTGTTGCCAACTTCCTCATACCACAAGAAGGTTGGAAGCTGACATAGGAAGCTGGTGCCTGTCTGCAGCGTCCGTGTTATCGTGTTATTTCCCCAGCACTCTCTGCTGGTGGAGCAGTTCACATGAGTACTTCATAATTGGCTTCAGGCACAATATGCCAGCTCTCATAGATTACACAGCAGCAAACTGATGGAATTGGTAATTTACAACTCCCTGCCATTTTGTGCTAACACTAGCGAGAAAATCATGACCAATTTGTTTTAGTTCCTTCAAGATGGTTGTACTTGTTTTGCTTTGGTAAATATTTGGAAGTATAGTTGCTTCCTTTAGTTGAAAATCACCTTTCTCTGTGATGGAGCCAGTGAAGGCGTGTAACTGTGCTAGCTGTAAAGGAGGAAAAACCCAAACCACCATACAAAACTCAAACCCTATCACTCAGAAACATTTTATCATGAGGTAGTATTAAAATAAACCAGGTGTGAAATTTGTTTCGGGAAGAACCACTGAAGCACTACAGCTTTTAACTGTGCTTTATTTTTCATTAGTGCATAGTTTGGGGTTTGGGTGCAGTGGCCCTTTGTTCTGCTTTTGTTGCTTCTAATTTTTTGAGGTGTAGTTTAAAAATGCAATACAGTGAGTAAACCAGAGAATAATTATTACCTCATTGTTAAGTGGTGTCCTGCATAATTGCATATTTAGTCAGTTCGCTACAAGCTTTAGATATTCAGAAGTAATCCAGTGACTTTTGTGAGAATATTAAACCAATTTTTCAAGGATCAGTGCTTTTAAAATTTGGTCTGAGACTGTTGCTTTGAAAAAAATTGAGCTATTGTAAGTAGTGACACAACTTTTACTGATTGTTTTCCTTTTTTTCTCCTCCTTCCCCCTCATTGAAATTTGTCATCAAATACATATCACAATTTTGAGCAGATTTAGACATTGAAATACCAGTAGTTCTTCTGAAGTCACTGGACCTACTCCCAGTTTTTAAGTCTGTGTGCTTACAGTATTAGGGGTTGTGGTCTTGTTTTACAGTACATATCTTTTCCCTTACTTGGTTTTATTAGGTGGATATAGTCAAGCTGTTGGGCCTTTGGGAAAGCAGTGGCTACTAGGACAGCTATTAAACTAAGTTACAATTTCACACAAACGAAAAACATCGAAAATATAGGAATTCAAAGCTTTCATGTTTTGCAGTCAAATTAATTAACCTCTTTCCTCTGGTTCCTGGTATAATTTTTAAATACGGATGTTATGATTTTTTATGTTTTCAACAATTGATAAATGAGTCTTCATTTCAGAGCAAAACTTGGCATAGGGTTTAGGTCTTTCTTACAATAATATTTAGTCACTGATATTGTTTTAGAACTGTGGTGCAATGTGGGAGAGAAATGGTTAAAAACAGCAGTTGTAACATGATCCTGTGTGATGGTGATTTTTCATTACCTGCATTGAATGCCATTGTTAGTAGCATTAATCACAATAATTTATAGTACAGGACATTTGTTTTTATGAAGTCTCCATTTTCAGTTCTACTGTATATACACTCAAAAACTAAGTAAGTAATAATCTTATTTACTGTATGGTATTGTATATGGACTTCCTCCATCAGAAGAGTGAAGAGAGAATTTACAAGAAACGATCAAAACCTGTGGGCATTTGGCTCCACCTTCAGAGATAAGAAGGAACAAATGACAGAGCTTGGTTGACTAAGCTGCCTTGCTTGCCTTCCTTAGTGAACTGTAAAGGTGCTTCTGTGGAGCTGATGCCTGGACCCCTGTTTTTAGATACCCCTGTGATCAGCTGCAAAAATCTGATCAGTGGGACAGCCTGTGGTTAATGTTATGTGTATGCTTTGCAGAAACCAGTCATTAATGCAGTATTTCTGCATATGGCATTTTAGGGCAAGTGTCCAAGTCAATGGCAGCCCAAAGTTTTATTACTTTTTTAATGTATAAATTTATGATAGGTTATGGTATCTATACAGTAAATGTATATGAGAATGGCTACATCTTTGTATAGGGGAGCTACAATAAGCCATTTTTTTCCTTGTTACTCTGTTAAAGCATTCTCATTTTGGGGGAGAGTTTTTGTTTTCCCAAGTTGTGTGTTGCAATTCATTTTCCTTTCTTGCATATTAAGTAATAATTCTGAATGTGTCAATTTTCATTTTTCTTTATAGGTTCTGCCCAATTGTTGTTTAATGTGACAGAATTTGTTGAAAGAACTCAGTGTAATAAAACTGTCATTTTACCTTGCTGTGTGACCAATCTAAAGGAAAACAACACAAAAGTCATGTTTGTTACCTGGAAAAGACAAGGAAAAGTAATTTTTTCTTTTGATGGAGAAAAAAATGAGTTCTACAGAGATCAAATGGTCCCATCAGCTAACTTAGAATCTGAGGTGAATTTACCCAAGGGTATTGCCTCCCTAACGATTAAGAGTACGGAAGCAGAAGCTGGAAATTACAGTTGTCAAGTAACGGAATCAAACAGAGAAGGAGAAACAAGAGTTGAACTTAGAAACCACACAGGTGAGTTGCCTGCCATTGTTTAGAATCTTTTGGGAGAGAAAACAAGCAAAATGTTACGGGAAGGGAAAAAATAACAAATATGACAATTTATTATTTAAATTGAAAATAGAAAAACCAAATGAACCAGGCCTTCTAACGTGAATGCTAGTGTGAGTTATTTTGGATTAAGTTACAGGGGAGTGCTTCATTTGGAAAGATGCAAGCCCATTATTTCATTCTGTAATAATGTCTGAAAATTGCTCATCTAATGCAGTAAAGTCTGTGCTTTCCTACATATTTTGAGTTTAGTCGGTGATATTTTTAACAAGCTCATGTTATTAGATTACATACTGAAACATCTTTATATCTTTGTAATGTTGGGATTTATACATTCATCACAGTGGCTGCAGAGAGTTTTTCTTTGAAGAAATGCCATCTCGCAATACTTAACTATGCTGGAAAAATTGCAGATAGAACTAGTTTAAGAACTCTATAGCTTGATCTGAAGGTGTGCAGTTTCCAATGAGGTTGTAAGTGCTGTTGCTAGATCATAACTTGTTACGATTTCCTAGCATTAAATGTTGTCTTCAGAAGACAATGCTGAACTAAGATAACGGTGACTAAATGAGTTTCTCATTTAGTGAGCCATTTTGCCTCATCTTGTCAGACGCAGCCCATGTGCTCTAGTGCCTCAGTTAATGGGGTCTGCTGTACATGTGCAGTCTGTGTAGTAGTATGCAGAAGTGACAGCTTCACTGAACATGTGTGTATTGTTAACTGATCTGCACAGGAGACTTGCTTCTTGCTTCTGGAAAGCTGCTAAGAAGCATTGAATTTGTCATGTATGTCTAACACATAGAGTCTTACTGTGCACTGTAGAATTGTCCTTCAGTGTTTTTGCATTTGTCATGAAAATATTTGTGAAGCTCAAACAGGTATGTCCTGCTGTTTAATTTAAACTGTGAAAATCACAGTTGGGCCTCATTACTAGGGTAACAATATACATTGCAAAACAAATATGATCCTGAAGTGGATTAAGAGGGGCACAGCCACTGAAAGAGAGAATGCTACAAAATCATTCTGTTATTAGAAAAAAAAGGAAAGAGTTATAGGTGGTTTCCTTCTTTTACAACTTCTTTCTCACTCAAACTTTTTCGACTGTTTTTGCCATTCAGTGTTAAGCTCTAGAAGAGAAAACAAGGCTTGAAAGTGTGGTAGAATTAAGTCTCATTTGCAAGTTTTACAATTTTCTTTTTATCTGTTTTCAGAATTTAGAAAGTGGTACAAAGATTTCAAAGAAGGAAACTGATGTCATTTTTCTAATTTCATTTTCTAGTTGTCAGTTGCAACGAGGAAGGTACACCAGCACCAAAGGAAAAATGTGGTTAGTGAAGAATTTATAGTTGCAAGGTCACAATAGATTTGAGGGTATATGCTAGAAAATTTAAAACTTTGTTTGAGGGTTTAGCTGAAGGTAAAACAGTCTCTTATTCTCTCTTTATATTCTACATAATTTTTTGTTGTTTGCTTCATGCTGAAGTCCTAGCAGATACCAGGCTTTATGGCTGCTTCTTTCTATTTGTAATACCTGATAGTGTCATCTGGAAATTCTACAGAGGAAGTGAAAACTGCTTTAGAGTATCTGCAAGCAGATACTCTCAGTTTATTAATAATTCTTGGTTACATCAAACAGTATTGCTGGGATTTGCCTGTATAATTTAGCTTATGTAGAGAATGGCATGTGTGCGTTGAAGTTACTGTTCGATATTAGTTGCTTTTTTAAAAATACAAATGAAGCAAGAAACCTCCTTTAAACAAGTCATTAAATTAGGATTATTTTATTTGTAAGGAAGTTCACAGATATTCCTCCATTTCTCTGCCTTTAGTATATTTTGTGATTGCCTTATGCTTGTGTTGTAACCTTGTGAGGAGTGATGAGAGGGAAGAGGGGTATTTGAATTTAAAACTATCCTGAAGGTATTTACTTGGCTTTTTATGTTTGAGGTGTTGCTACTTAATTCTCTTTCTGGAACAGTAGATACGGCTTTTAAATATGGAGAGTAAGTGGAAGGAGTATGCATCTAGATGCAGATCAGAAATTTCTTTAGAAGCAAGTGTGCAGGCTTGCACAGCAGGAAGTATAATGTGAGAAATGGGGATCTTGGATTTCAATGCATGAGTCTAAATGAAGTTATGAGAAGAGATGCAGGAATCAACTGTATTTTATAGTTCAGTGGAGATATTTTTCAGAATTTTAGTTTGGAAGGTGGCTTACATGGTCTTTAAGCACGAGTGACTGAACAGCCTTAGGCATCCCAAGATGCAGGGGGGAAAAAAGCTAAATGGATCATGGTTGGAAGACCTAAAGGAAAACGTATGATTTCTAAAAATGACAAAGCAGTGTTTCCTTCTCACTTAGGTTACCTTCTGTATGCCTTATCACACACCTGGATTTCGTCAGGAATTGTAGCAGTTGGAGGTAGAATAGAACAGCTGGGGAAGCATTGAATTGGACTTTTCGTATCTTGCCCAGTTCCATCTTAGCTTAAATACACCATTTTTTTTCTGATGTGCTGTGCTGTTCGTAGTTCACAAACTTAACTAGCTTGTTCTGCCAGACAACAGCATAAATATATCCTCTGCTGCAGTGGAGGGTAAGACTTCCAGTTTGGAAAATGTTACAGTAGCTAGAAATACTGAAAAAAAAAAATAAATTGTCACACACAAGATGAGAACAAGAAATAGCTTTATTAGCCTATGTGCTGGTTCTGGCTGGGATAGAGTTAATTTTCTCCATAGTAGCTGGTATGGGCCTATGTTATTGTCCACAACTCAGAGATGTTTTAGTTACTGCTGAGCAGTGCTCACACAGCATCAAGGACTTTTCCACTCCTCACCACCCCTGCAGCGAGGTGGCTGGGGGTGCACAAGGGGTTGGGAGGGCACACAGCTGGAACAGCTGACCCCTCTGACCAAAGGGATATTCCATAATATTTTATATTGTGCTCAGCAATAAAAGCTGGGGGAAGAGGGAAAAGGGGGGACATTAAGAGTGATGGCATTTGTCTTCCCAAGTCATTGTTAGGTGTGATGGAGCCCTGCTCTCCTGGAGATGGCTGAACACCTGCCTGCCATGGGAAGTACCAAATTAATTCCTCCTTCTGCTTTGCCTGCATATGCCGTTTTTGCTTTACCTATTAAGCTGTCTTTATCTCAGATTTTCTCACTTTTACTTTTCTGATTCTTTCCTGTGTCCCACTAGGACGGGCTGAGCGAATGGCTGTATGGGGCTTAGTTGCCAGCTGGGAATAAACTATGATAGCCTATTATAACTCTTAATGCTAACAATAGCATATGTTATTGAGCAATCTAGATCATAGCCTAAAAGAAGGAAAAAATTGTAAAGCTAATAATGTCAGTTTTTGTTGTCTTCCTACCATTTTTCTTTGTTTATTCTCTAGGATCATGGTTTCTTCTAGTGGAAAGGGCTCTCATCATAGCATTGCTGTTCTTAGTTATTATTTTGTGTTCGGCTCAGTTTATTGTTATTGGTAAGTATTGACTTTTTAATTCTTTGCAATTATTGATTTGTCCTAAAATCACTTGCGTAAAGACATCAATGTAAGATGAAAGATGGTGTTTACATCTAAAAATTGTCCAGTAAAATTGATCCAGATAATACACAGAGGGGTGGTACATCTGCTTTGTCAAATAACTTGGTGTTTGGGTTGCTCTGAAATCCTCTGCTATCAACGACACTGTGAATTTCTGGGCTTTCTTTTGGCATTAATCAGCTAACATGACCAAAGTGTTAAGTTATATACACTTCACAAGACAGTTCCTAATAAGCACTATCACTTACAGACTTGGGTCAGTAAGAGCATGCCTAGCTACCCTCTTATGTTCTGCTTAGTGGTCTGTTTCCTTTTCAATAAACCTTACACTTAAGTACATGTGGCATACGTATTTGGTATCAAACTATGAAAACACTAGTCTGGTGTAGCATTTGCAGAGTTTAGTACCTTTTAACTGAAAAAAAACAACAAAACAACACCACAACATGACCTCATCAAAAGGATGCATGTTTTGGGACTTCAGTGTGCCACATGGTGCCCCTGTCATGCCGTATGTATGCAGGCAGGCACCTTTTTGAAGGAGGTGGAGCCCTAAGCAGTGGGATCGTGGCCAGTCTGCTCTGTTTGCTTGGAGGTCAGGAGTTGCTTCCTGGGGTAAAGTTTTTAGCAGCTGTGTGTGTTCATAGACAATGCTATGATGTGCAGCCCAAAGGGCCTGTGTTCAGATCTAGTCTGCCATGTGATATTTCTACTGCCAGAAGTGTTGCAAATAGTGAGGTTTTTTGATGTGTAATTTATGTGGGGTATAACTGATCATTTCTACTGTCATTGGTTAGAATAAGGAAGCTTTTCTTCTCTGTTGATTCTCCATGGTCTTATTGAGTCCTGAGAAACAGAAACATATTGTATTTTATGGTCATGAAGTCAGTATCAGAGAAGGACGATGCTGTCTTTGTAGTGTAAAATTGATCCTTAGTCTTTCAGCACCTATTGTAACACCTACTTCAATGATTTTGTTAAATGATTTTAGAGGCAATACATTTACCAGTACCATACATCCTTAGGTGTTCTTTATATACTGTTGTCCAACATCTAGGCAATGTAGAGTGTGCTTTGTGTCCTAGTCTTCCAGATAGTTCCCTGTGGTGCAATTTTTCATCAGCACTTGAGTTTTTTCAGCCTTTTTCATTTTGTAGACAAAGTTAAAAAAGTCTACCTACGTGTAGAGTCCATAAGAAATGCAAAGAAATTACACTCAGTGATTTCTCGTAATCACAGATGTATTCAGTCATCTATCTATATATAATTTCCTTCATTACCTTTTCATGAAGCTCTGAAAGTGATATGTGACTCCTCCAAGGTCCTCCCATGGTCAGAATTAAAACTAATTATTTTTTTATTACTTCCATAGCATTAGAGCCCTGAGCTTCATTATTGTTTATAATGGTTTAGGAGTATCTGATACATTAAGGAATTGTCACTGTCTTACATTCGGAGCAGAACTTGAACATTTTTAGCATTTTGATAGGAAAGTAATAATTGTCCTGAAATAAGGATGGATATGTCTATGGAGAAACACTGTCATTTTACAGGAGTAAGTTGAGCTTGCTTGGGTGTTTTTTGAATCTCCACACTTTAATGAAAGATCTGCGTCTTCTGTGGGGAAATGTAGTCATGCTACCTCTAACTTAATGTGGGTATACTTACTGTTTGTTTTTCTTCATTTTTTGTGAGGAGGTTGTTTCCTTGAATTGGCACTGTTTTAGTTAACCTTTGAATCCAGCAATGCTACAGTATACTTTAAATAGTTTGTTAAACTGGACATTATTTTTCTGTGTAACACCTGGGAATGTGTTTTCTTGGGTTTGTGGTGGGGTTTTTTGGGGATGAGTGTTTTGGGGTTTTTGGTTGGTTGGTTTGGATTTTTGGGATTTGCTTACAGGATTTGCTTTTAGGATTAAAGTATAGTATATCCATTACATAGTTTTGCCTTTGTGTCTTGCTTTCCTTATTTAGCATGTTTATAATATGAAAAACACACTTCTCTTACAGATATGCAGGAAATTTTTACTATTACTACTATTCCAAATCAGTTTTTGGTTTAAGTGGCAGTAGTCCTTGAGAATATGACTGGGGTCCTGTTGTGTTAGGCAATGTGAATATAATGAAAGACAGTTTAAATTATAAGAGAGAGTTCAGTAACTCTTTGGTAAGATACCATGAAAGATTTTGTTGTATGTACGCTCTGAAATATGTACTGTAGCCTCATGGTATTTTGTTGTGCTAATGCATGTAAGTAGAATGCTAATTCTGTATGTGCTCCTCGTTTTTATTTTTGAAGTTACTTTCAATATTTATCCTCTGTGATTTCCAATTTCGACAGCTAACAGCATTGTTGGTGTATAAGTTTTCAGGCTTGCAAAAAGAACTGCCTTTATTTGTGCCTTAGTTTTAGCAGTGTGTAAGACAGAAGCAAACACAGTTTATCATGATGTTGTATTTGTTCTGTTCCTTCTTTTCCAAAGACCACTGAAGTGCTGCTGCTTTGAGAGCCTCCACTGGAATCAACAGTTTCTGGGATGGCAGCTATTTAGCAGTGCAGTTTTACTGAAAATTAATTTTATCTATGGCACCTAGATATGGGTCATCCCATATCTAGTAATCTTCACAGCATTCTAGTTAGATGGGAACATCATTCTGTTCCCATGGGCACAGAGTTGTTATGTCTGAGCTCACAGAATATCATGGGAAGAGAATTAAACCTGAAATTTCTGAATCCCTATCTGTCACTCACCCAAGTAACAAATTAACTGCAACATGATTTAAATGTCAGTAGTGCATCTGCTTGAATTAACCTGTAACATATCTCAGAGTTATTAAAATAATGTATCACCTGAATCCTATAGAAGGTGGAATTAAGAGTTTGGCTAGAACACCAATGCCAGATTTCATTTATCTGAGTAGGTCATAATAACCATGTCAAACAATAAAAACAAATGAAATCTCAGTAGTACTAATAGTTCTAATTTTTAGGTGCTTGTTTCTTTGTTTAGGACAACAGTCCTAACAATACAATCTGTGTATTTTAGTGAGTCAATCTCTGTATCTGAATGTTTTCCTCTCTGTCTGTTTTGTCTTTAAGCATTAAAATACGAAATTGTAACTCAGAAGAAAATGGCCATTATTGTAGCAGGTATCATCTTCACAGTTGCTGCTGTTGTAGGCACTGTTCTTTATGTCCAAGGTAAGTATATTAAAATTGCTTTCCTAGCTTAAAGGAATAAAACACATTAATCTCTTCATGCAGTAGTATGGAAGTTAGTACTACCTCTTAATTGCTGTTTACTAATAAAAAAATACAGAACACAACAGAAACAGCATTGTGTTTGTTAGACCCTCAGATGATCGTAAGGAGACACAGACTCCAAATTTAATTCTATCTTCTGTCCTGCTACAGAATATTAGGATGAATATTAGGGGCTAGGGAGTGACTTCTTGTGTTTCATTGGGCTTTTTTCTGGACCCTAAAATCTTGATGATACTAATAATGTAATTTTGTTCTTTGTGTTTTATTCCAATCAAGGATTTCTGTTTTACTAATTCCTATACAAATGTTTGCAGATGGCTATGCTGCACAGAATCAAGCTGGTCTTGGCCTAATTGTTATCCCTTCTGTGATTTTGGTGCCACTTCAATACTTGATGTTTCGAATTGGTGAGTATTTGTTTCTTCGCTAGCTCAAGAACATACTGCTATAAAAACTGAGCTCTTTCCCGCTCGCATAATCTATGTGCTCTTTTCCATTTTTATAAATCAGTGCTATGATAGTGTCCTGGATTCTGGACCTTCCTAGTATCTCAAAACAAAATATTTAACCTGTGTTTGTTTGGCTAAGTTGCTTCAGGAAAGAAGTATAAGTTAATGAAATTTAGGGCAGGACATCTGAGTGATTCCTGTTCTTCCTTCCTGGGTCCTGGGACTGGGATGAATAGCTAACTAGCAGAATGTTTATGTTTCACTTTTTCTACATGTGGTTATTTGTAATTTGTATATATACATGTATTCTTATGTATGTTTTCACACAAGAGGCATAAGTGACTTGTGAGTTTTTATTACACTGATGGGCTGAACTTGGAATGTAGGAGAATATGATCTCTAGTTTTACATGAATGATCTGTCTTTTATGTCTCTGTAGTTAAACTTTAAACATTATAATTTTGCTTCTCTTTGTCTTTCCCAGTTTTTGATAGTCTACCACAAGCAACATATGCTCTGATAGGTTTGCAAATCCTTGGTTATATAATTGCTGTGGTTGGTTTTGCACTGTGTGTCTCAGGTAAGCAATCTATCTTCTATAAAAGTGTCTTTTTACTTTTTGTCTGCACCTGATGTTTCTTTGTGTAACATTAAAATGCTGTGAAAATGGCTTCACTACATTGAGTGTTAGCAAGTAACTTCTGTAAATGTATTTCAGAACTTCTGTGTAATGCTCTTTTGTCTGGTGAAAGAATAGCCCCAACGCAGTATTACACACATCAGTTTTATTAGTACAGCTGTATCCAGTGTGACTGCATTCTATGAGAAGTTGTTTAAAAAAAATATTAAATGTTCTAATTTTGCAGTAGTTAGTGCCCTAAAGTCGCCTAGACCCAACACTGACTTTTATTACTGTACTTCTTACCGAGGCCTGGGATATTTAGAAACTTTACTAGAGTAATAATAATTTTCTTATGTTCAATTAAGAAATAAGTAAGAAATATCCTGTTAATATCTCCGCTTGTATGCAACTGATAACTGAATTCTTGGGAAACTAATACCATTGAAACAGTATAAGAAGGCAAATGCAGAGACAGTAAGCTTGGAAGTGTTCTTGAACTGTTTTAAGTCTGGTCACAGCTGGCATACTGTTCAAACACTGTGGAACAGTCACTGTTGTGAAGGACCGCCAATGAACACCGCATACAGTGGTGCCCCTTATCCTTGCCTCTAACCCTGCCTTTGTCCCCTGCCCACTTTCTCCCCTGCTGACCAGAAAACCCTACAGCAGAGAAAATTATTAATTTAGGACTAGGCATCCTTTTTAGTTGTTTAGTAGTCGAGTGCATACTTGTGTTCGTTGGAAGCACTTTATACTCCTGATGTATTGTTTCATAGAGACATTCTTCATTTTAATTGCTTATTTGGTTGGAGATTTAAGAAAAACTATTTCTCCTTGAAGCAGTTCATAAAGATTTGTCTAATCTGGGTGAAATGATAGATCTTCCAGTGGTGTTGTGCTTTGAGTGTTATGCTTATTGTTTAGTATTTACAGAAGGGTTTATTTATAAGGAGCACCCAAGCATTGTCAAATGTAATAGTAAAATAAACAGAATCACAGAATCCTAGGGGTTGGAAGGGACCTCGAAAGATCATCTAGTCCAACCGCCCTGCCAGAGCAGGGTCACCCAGAGTACATCACACAGGAACTTGTCCAGGTGGGTTTTGAATGTCTCCAGTGAAGGAGACTCCACAACCTCTCTGGGAAGCCTGTTCCAGTGCTCTGTCACTCTCACAGTAAAGAAGTTCTTCCTGATACTCACATGGAACCTCCTGTGCTCCAGTTTGCATCCATTGCCCCTTGGTTTGCATCCATTACCCTTGAAACTGATGTAAATGCTTGTAAAGCATTTATCCTCTCAAGTAATAATGAAATGAAGGGTGTATTTATTATACTCTCAAATGGAAAGCCTCTCTAGTTTTTCAGGGTGATCATTGCACAAGTCTAGCTTAATGCCCCTTTCCTGTCAGCAGAAGTAGCACATCATCCCAGGTTGAGCTCACAGATATTTGCAATGGCTTCTGGACTCTGGAAACAAGGATCAGGGAACAAGGAGTTTCTGTGGTGAACTGTGGTTACATTGTAAGAGCCAGTTTTGTAGAAGTAGTTCTGGGGTAGCTTTGAAACATCAGCTAATTGCATCTGCTTTTACCAGATTATTTATTTTGGCATTCAGTTATATCAGAAAATAAATGTTTGTGCTTTTACTTTGTCAGCTGATACAGTTTCTTGTATCCTGTTTTTTGACAGCCTGTCCTCCATTACATGGGTCTGTTGTGATTGCTGGCTTAGCTATTATGGCTATTGCAAGTTTGCTTAGCCTGGCTGACATATTTATTATGGGTAAGTAACAGTTAATAATCTACATTTTATTCTTTTTAGCACTGAAATATTCAGAAGAGCTATTTTCTCTTGTACTTTTCAGAGGTATACATAGCTTATTTGAACATAAGGTGTGATTTCACAATTACATATTTTTTTAAAATACTGAAAAATTGTATATATTTGCTTTGTTATGGCCCAGGGTGGGCTGTGGAATCTTGAGTAAAGAAAATTACAGCTTATTATAATCAACTGTCTTGAGATTGACACACCAGCTTTCTTAAGAGTTTTTCAGCTGTATGACAGATGTTGTTGTCTAAGCTCTGCATTTACACAGTTGGCTAGCTGAAGTTTGGAACGAAGGGAGCAAAAAGATTCCAACAACTCTATGGAGTGGGTATGGGGATGATGCAGACAAAAGCTTAGCATATTAATTTAAAGAAGCAAAATCTGCCTAGTGATTTCTGTTGGTTAGAGGTTGGTTAAAATAAGAGCAATTTGAATGGTCACCTTTCATTTTAGTGAATTCTAGTTTTTTTACGCTTAATTTTAAAAGCCAGGAGCAGACAGTAATACTTTGTTTTGAAAGCTGGTCTGTTCACCAGATCTTAAAGAGATGAGAAATTAAAAGGTTTAAAAGCCAGTCAGGCCTGCTAATAAAGCAAAAACCACAGCAATGCTGTGTGATTGGAATGCATTGCAGACATCTCTAAGCTGGCACACCACAGTATAACATTGTGTGGACTTTACAGCTTGGGTCTGGGAGCAGAGTGACTTTTTGTAGCTGTGCATGAAGGCTGTTCCAACAGCTTCTTAGTCTGGATGCAGAACTGTGCAATTGAGGATATATTGCTTCCAGATGCAAGCTGCTGTGTATGCAATCAGCGCAGTACCTAGACCGCACTGATCTATGCAGTCTTCTAGGTTTAATACGTGTACACTGTGTGTGGGCATGGTCAAAAATAGCCGACCCTGAGACAGGGAGGATTTCCATTAAAGAAGAAATTAAGGGTGGAATACCTAGTATTTGATACCTGAGACAGGTGAAGATGAGTAAAAAAATGTGACCTTTAAGCCTTTTGACAATGATAAAAGTAATTTGTATTGACTTTGCACTACTTGTGTATATGGCTTTGATTCTGTCTGCTAATGGTCTGCATAAATATTGCATTTGTAGATTGATTATGCTGTCTGAAGAAATCAAACGTGACTGTTGGTGTAGATGCCAGCACACGAAATAAGCACGAAGAATAGTGTGTAGTGTAATTCATTTTTAGAGCTGAATTCACGAGTGAGACAATTCCCAGATTGTATGTGATGAGATTATTCAGTTTGTAAACAGAGAGGGCTTAGAGGCTTGAAGAATTTGCAGATCATCATATTAAGTACTTTTGGATAGGGCAAGCTTCAATTTTGTGTGTTGCTATTCTGTTGCAAGTTTTAGCACTAGATATTTTTGTTTGATTGATTATGACATCTATTCATCTGCTTGGTCACTTTTTTGTAATTATTCTAGGTTCCAGAATGAAAGATCATCCTCGTCCAGGGGTAAGCTTAAAATTAATAAATTTGGGGTGACTAGATGGCTCAGGGGATTGTAGTGAGATACTGAACCTTTCTTCAGTAGTTCGAATTCAGACCAGGTTGGTAGCAAGCAAAAGTTCTGGCTGTGTAACAGATGTCTAATGTTGAGTGAGTTGGTGGTCTTCATTGTCCCTATTGAGTGTGTCTATAGTACTGTAATTGCACTCTTACCAAACAGCTATTCTGACTGTTGTGCCCAAATGGAGTTTGAAGGGCTGTCACAAGAAGGTGGTTTGTGTGAAGGGAAGTTTGGTGTTCTTTTACAATGCAGTTTTTCTCATTAATTTATAAAGATTTTTTTTCTGACCTTGGTGAAAATTATTTTTCATTAAGGTGAGAGTAGAATACGGTACCATTGAATTTTTTTTATCTAGGTGGCTTATTACAAAGACTTTTTTTTTCCTGGGGTCTTTTACAGAGGAATCCTTTAATATGCTCTTGAATTCCCAGCTATACAGTTGCTAGAGCCTTGGTCTTTTTTTTATCTTCTTATTTTCCTATAATGCCCCTTAATTTGATGAGACCATCTGAAAGCAGACCATCTGTCCTTAGGTCACACAGAACAAATGGAAAAGCACTTCAGTATTTTAAAATAAGGTTTTTTCAGCCAGGTTTGGTTTTGGTGGGTTTTTGTTTTGTTTTTTTTAATTTCAGAGTAATCATTCCTAAACCAGTAATTCTTATAGACCTGTGCAGTTCTTTTGAGTGATCCATTAATGTGAACTGCCTGATTTCTAGAGTTTTGCAGAAGCAAGTAAAGAGGCCTAACTAGAAAATACTAAGATACTAAAAAATCCCATTAGGGCTGGCAGCCCTAATTTGAGACACATTTCCAGTTCTTTTCAGTCTACAGCCTGAGGCCCAACTATTGAAGAAAGATGGTTTTTAACAGTGGGGCAGGAGAGCTGGCTGCAGTTGGGAAAACAGATTAATTTTTTTCCTTTTTCTCATCCATTTTCGTTTTAAGGAATAGTATTTCAGAGGATTGGCCTCTTATTATGAAAGGAATATAAATGCACAGGGTTGAAAAGAAAAAAAAAAATAGGTGATTCACAAAGTTCCTGATATTATAACAATGAGCTGAGAAGTGTGTTACAGATATACTTCTTTTAAAACACAATCTTGTCTTTATCTAACATGCTCATGTTTACTTGTAGAATGGAAACAAACAGGGCAAGAGGACATCCTTTTTTTTTAATCTTAGGTTTTGGTTGTAAATGAGCTTTGAAATAGAAACCATCACAGTAAATAGCATTCTTTATGGAACTGTTCTCTTGATAAGCTGTTCTCTTCACAAGGAGATTTTTATATTGCAGCAAGGATTTGACAAGTAAAGAAATAGCCATAATTATGTACCAGTGAATGCTATGTTACTCTCTGAATTAGAGACAGGAATGAATTAAAAAGAAATTTTTAAAACTTGGAGGACATGTTTAAGGATGGACCTAGCATCTTGGAAATCTCAGCCACTAAAAAAACAGGGTTTGCAGCTGCAGTTAGTGGAGGGTCAGATGCAGAGGAATTCACATGTTGTTAATTTGTGCCCATGAATTTACGGAAGTTATGGCAAGACCTAGTGGAAAATTTTGTATAGTACTTTGCATGTTTCTGCCAAGGGCTACTCAGCATATATTGCTGTTCCTATATAAATATATGTGAAGTAATTTTGAAAATACATTTGGATTCTGTGTAATCTAAAGACTGTAAAACTCAGTGTTGGTGAAGTGTTTAATTTTGACACTGGGGCACGTTTAACAAACGATGCTTGATATTTTCATGAGTCTGAAGGGGAGAAGGTGCCTATTTTAAAATTCTGCATCTTAACCTTACTGATTTTTCCAACACTTCTGTAGGTTGTGTGTGTTGTTTCTGATGATGATCTGACTAAATGCACTACTATGGTGTATTTACTTTTGAGATTACATGTGATTGCTTGGCTACCTTATTTTTTTATCATGCTGCTGTATTTACTAACTGTTGGTCAAATCACAGCATTAATCAGTTAGGTTTCAGAGCTGAAAAGTACTATCTGCATGCCTTTTGCTGCCACCTAGAGGTATTACGACGAAAAATTTACAGTGGGGAAAAAATAATCTGGAATGCAGATATTGATTGATTAATTTTTTTCAGAACTCTAGTAATTAACTTTATTAACGTCCAGCTTTCTTCATTTCTGTAGAATCACTACTTACTGTATATGTCAATTAGAGTAATTTAACTGTGGCGACCCAAAAGTAAACATGAAGGCTTTTTATACATATATATATTTTTAAATGTTTTGCAGAAAGCTGTAGAAGAACCACTAAATGGTAGGTGATATTCAAGGCTTATCTTCTAATTAGGGGATTAATTATGAAAAAAGGTCAAAAAATAATTATAGTTCTCAGTGCTGTTGCAGAGCACTCAAATAGCTTATTGCCTGCAGCTCCAGACCCTTTGTTCCACGCTACGGTGCTGGCTAGTGAGTGGCATTGTTTGACTGCTTTAGGACAGCTCTAATATCGCAGAGTATTGTATCTACCCGCTTCATTTTGCAGAAAGTCCCACTTCTAAGAGGATTAGAGGGACAGGTCTTGAAAGTTGATGTTGCTTCTTCACGAGCATTTAAGCTTGGTGGAATATTTACAATTATAGCAAAATCTACCCTTGTTTTTATGCTTTTGGTATTTTTAGTTGGGGAAACTACCATTATGCTATGAAACTCTGGTAGTGCTTAAGATGAGGGAAATTTATGGTGTGAAGGGAATGACGCTGAAATATTTGTAGTTTTCTGCTATCCTGTTCACTAACTGGCATGCTGAATTGTAGTTCTAACCTGACTTTTAGAATTAATCTGAATATTAATTATTAAGTATTTCTTGCTCTTTGGCTTATTACTAATCAATCTGCTTGGCTTTTAAAGATGCAAAAGGAGTGATGTTAGAGTGATGGTAAGTCCAAATATAACTCCAGATATTTATTTAAATTAACATGTATTTGGGGATTTTTAGAGTTCCCCATTGCTAATATGGTGAATCCTGGAGGAGAGATTTCAGGGCAGGTGCTGTTCTTAGTCGAATTATATTTCTTTGAAAAGAAAGAATACATATTTCCTGTATCATATGTAGGAGAAGAATGTATTTCTGAATAGTGAAGAGGATGAGTCAGAGAGGACTAAATAGTATGTTTCTGATAAAATGTGGAAAGTATAATAGTTTGTGTGCTTCCTTTATGCTTATATAGTCTTTAAACTTCATGGACTGTTTCTTCGGTAGTGGGTTGTTGTTTTTTGAGGTGGTTTGGTTTTTTGTTGTGAATATGGCTAAACCTTCTCTGTGTCTCCTCTTTTAGACGTTATTGAAGTTCTCTGGATTTTGTTAGTTTGTTTGTATTCCAGATATCACTCAATTTAGTATTTTCCAGGGTCAGACAGTCATGTCTAAAAGCAAACAGAACTGAAACACATCTTAGTAAAATTTAAGAACTGCTTAAGTAACTTCAACTGATTTTTGACAATCCTGGGTGTTGAACTTTAAGATCTGAAGATGCACTGTGCTTTCTGCCAGGTCATTGTGATTAATGTTTAAAAATCTACCAGATATTGTTAAAGAATATCTATGTTGCAGTGTCCTGGCTTACTATACGATTTCTTCCAATTTGCAATGGCCTCAATGCTGGGATTAGTCCTTTCTGATTTTACAACCACTTGTAAGACTTGTAACACTAACTACATGTAAATAAACTCTTCCTAATATACAATAAGCAAGGGACTGCATTAACTTAGCCTAAAATTCCCACACTGGTACCTAAAGCAGGTAGCCAAGTTTGCAACAATTCTTAGTTCCCACAGCTCATATTTATCAGAAGAGTTACAGAGTGTGCCTTGCCAGATTGCTGTCATTGAAGAGCTTAAATTTTAGATAAGATGCTCAAGTTTGAAAACAAAATCAGTATTTTATTGATTCTTTTCTATTCCAAAAATGTACTTCTTTTTCATGAGAGTATGATAAAAGAGCACTTGCTGATGTTGTTGATACTTCTGTTTCTTCCTGGAAACTGAGCAGTCATGTCATGAGGTATCACTACACTCTTAGCCTAGTACCCCTGCCTCAAATTACAACATTTTGCTAGTCAGGATAAAGAATAAGGTCACCCTAAATCTGTCAATTTACTCAAAATGTTTTTATATCATGCCACTTAGCAGAGGAATGAACCGAGTATGTGACAATAAATAAGGTACTATTTAGCCCTAATTGGAAGAAGGTTATACCAGCTGATTTTTAAAACAATCATTCTTACAAATACCTAGTACTGCTAGGTTTAGGTTACTTGGCTACTACATGATTTATCCAAATATGCCATAGGATTATTTTCTGAGCCAATAGGAATACAAGCACTTCTGCAGTCCAAAGGACAGCTGCCTTGGCATCTCATAAATTAATAAGACAGGACACTTAATTTCCATTATTTAAGTGTTAAGTGTACTTTCAAAGTATAAGATAAAACAAAGTAATCTTTTGAAGGTGTAACTTGTGTAGACAACACAAAATGTTACTGTGCTTCCTGAACAATCATTTCTCTTTTAATTCCCAGAACGGCGGAGTTATGTGATGTGTGAAAAGTACACTGTTGTTGGTACACCGTGGCCTTGAAGATGCACTACTCAAAGAGAAGAAATTCAGGAAACAAGTTGTTTTGCGTGTGTGGCAAAAGTGCTTTTGATATAAATGATGGAATTTTATAGTCACAGCAGCTGTAGCGAGGAACATGTGTGCTTGCCCACATGTGATCATAATTTTCTTTTGTTATGGTATATTTGGTACAGTTGAGGGTGAGAATATAAAAAGCACTGTTTGCCCACTACAAGGTCTCCCTGCAGTAATCCTTAGTGGTATTATTTTCAAAAACTATAATTAGTCACTGCTTTGATAATGGGCCTGCTCAGCCCAAAGATTGCAATACCATGTAGACTATTGTTTTGTTTATTTGTGTGCATGGACAAGGTATGGTCATATGTCTATGATACAAGCAGGAAGTAGCGATTGTACAAACACTTCTGACATTCAGACTTTTATAAAAAAAGCAAATAAAATGCTTATACACAACGTTGTGTAAGTACAAAGTTTACTCCCAGCTCTCACTAAGTTATTAACTGAGTTCTCCTAGTTCCACAAAATAGTAGTATTCTTCTCCATGGGCAGTAGTCATGTATTCTCTGGTGACTGATCTTTTAGTCCAGTGAGAGAGCTCTCCGTGCCTCTTCTGTATTCTTTGATGAAAAACTGCTCAGCTATTGGAGCCTAATTCAGCACTGGAATTACGGAGCAGAGCAGCTGGTAATTTTCATGCTGAATGTGGTTCTTCTTTGTGTTCATGTTGTGCAGTGTGTGGTACTGGAAGCAATTTCAGACTTTCTTAACACAGTGAATTTGTAAAACTCGTTGATGCTTCATAAAAATAGGAGTTATCCTATTTAATGTATTTTTTTATCAAGTTTTAAAATCTGTTTTCTTTAATGGAAGAAGGAGCTGTTTCATTTCTGACCCAAGTTTGTGATGCTACCAGTATATCTCAAATACACAAAATAGAAAATAAGTAAGAGGAGCCAATGAGAAGTGAGGAGGCTCATTTTCTGTATATATGCAAGAGGTAAAGGTAAAAATCCATTTTCTAGGACTTGCACATTCCGTGAGGTTTCACCATGTTTTACAACTGTTTTGAGAGTTGTTCCAATGTAGTTGGCTTCTCTTGGGCTTTGTGTATACTTTGTATACTTCATACTGTCTCCTGTTCACACTAAGGTAATATGTTTCAAAGGCACACATGGTTTTCTCCTTCTAACAATTTAAAAATTTGTTTGGAAAGCTGTTGCCAAACAATAATGTAATAAAATCCACATTTTAAAAGATTTTGAGTAATTGGCAAGGCTTAGAGTTGGATGTTACAAACTAAGGTTGTGGGTGCATGTTGCAGAGATTCAAGTCTGAGCATGTTGAGCAGCTCAAAGTCTCAATGCAGGCACTTTGCATCAAGAGTATTCAACAAAATAAAATTGAGGTATCTGATTTTGCACTATGTACACTCATAAACAGCCCTCTTGCTAGGGCTGCAGGACTGAACCCGTTAGAGCACCCATGGTCCAGCCCTCACTAAGATCAGTGGGACTGGCCACAGTGAAGAGGTTTAGTCATGTGATACAACATTTAAGAAGCACATAAGGTTTACATTTACTTTCATGCCTTCACTTTTGTCAGTGGGAGTATTCGTAGAAGATTTGAGCTCCTATATATGAATCGTTTGGTAGAGATTTTTCCATAATCTCAGCAACCTAGCTAAAGATGGGAGATGACTCTCCATTTATGATTAAGTGTAAGAACTTACTGGATGAAGTACCACGCAGAGCTCCCTATTTATAACTAGTGATTCCCTCTGGCAAGTCGGAAGTTGAGCAGTTGAGAAATAAAAAAAACCCAACTGGAATTCATTTGAGGTATTTTGCCTTATAAAATCCATAATGTACTACAGCTTCATGTTAATTTCTGTAAAGCAAACTGCAGTAGAACCTGTCTTTGTCACTGTGGGATGAGGCCAAGCTGCTATTAAGCATAGCTGAAGCATGAGGAGCTCGAGGGCTGTGTATGGGCTGCAGAATCAATTGCCTCAGTAATGAGAGAAACCCACCATCCTGTTGTGTTAAGGGCTCTGCCCTAGATTTCATGTGGGTACAAATTTAAAAGCAAGAGTTTAAAAAGTCATTGGTATACCCAGCCCATTCCCTCCAGGAGTCTGTAAACCAAAGTTGTTCACAACTGTTTGATGCCATTTGTGTACGTATATGTGTGTATATATAAATTATATAGACATTTTAAATATCTATAGATCTATAGTCTTTACCCAAGAAAATGTTTTTATTTATGAAACATCAAACAATTTTGTAAATATTGTCCTAATCTACTTTAAAAATAAAGTAATTTTAAGTTGTTTTTGTGAGAGAGTTTCTTGTTGCTATTACACTGAACTGTCACTGATTTCATAAATTCATAGTCATAGCTTTTCTTCTCCCTGCCTTCACATCCTCTCTCCTCCCAGGTTACGCACTGGACGTACAAGTGTTCATGGTGTTAGGCTGCTGATGATGGTTTTGGTTGGGAGATTGTCATGGGCTTATTCCATGGGCACACATTTTGAGTTGCTTCAGCATGACCTCAGGAACAACTGCGGTTGCGTTGAGGTGCAGTCTGGGTTTATCCTTGGACCACAGTCCCTTCAGAAGTGTACCTGTTGTATACATAACCTGCTTTTACATAAACACAGCCACAGATGCTTTGAGATGCACCTGCTGTGGTGTTGACTTAGACATGGCCACAGGTGCTTTGGAATGTCCTTACCCCTCGTGGATTCATGCACAGGTCACAGTCCCTTTGACTCATGTTTGTGCTGGAGTTCCAGCTGGTCTGCTGCAGCTGTGCAGGAGCAGCAGTGGTGCCCTGGCCATCTGCTGGCCCAGGTACATGGCCACTGCTGTTACCAGAATGTTCTGAGGCACAGCAGAGCAAGTTGATGAGTGGTACAGCAAGCAGCAAAGGCAAAAAGCCACTAATGAGCACCAGACTAATTTGCACTAAGGCAAGCAAGCCCCAGGCCAAGCACAGGAGCCTGCCAGTTAATACCTAAACAGCTGTAGCAGCTATAAATTTGATCTAGCACATTCCAATGAAATCCATTGTTATCTCTGACTTTGAGCCCCATGTTTGGTGCCAAAAGGACTGTTGAGGTTTACCCTCAGCTGGCAGCTGAGCCCCACACAGCTGCTTGCTCACTCCCCTCTGGTTGGGCTGAGGGAGAGAATCAGAAGAGTAAATGTGAGAAAACTCATGGGTTGAGATAAAGACAGCTTAACAGGTAAAGCAAGAGGCACAAGCAAAGCAGAAGGAATTGATTTGATACTTCTCATGGCAAGTAGGTGTTCAGCCATCTCCAGGAGAGCAGGGCTCCATCACTTTTAACAGTCACTGAATGACACCCCTTCCTCCTCTTTCCCCCAGCTTTTATTGCCGAGCACAATGTCGTATGTTATGGAATGTCCCTTTGGTCAGTGGGGTCAGCTGTCCTGGCTGTGTCCCCTCCTAGCCCCTTGTGCACCCCTGGCCTTCTCACTGAGGGGTGGGGTGAGGAGCAGAAAAGTCCTTGATGCTGTGTGAGCTCTGCTCAGCAGTAATGAAAACATCTCTGCATTGTGGACAATAACACAGGCCTATACCAGCTACTATGGAGAAAATTAACTATCCCAGCCAAACCCAGCACATAGGTCTTGGTGTTTCTCCATAAAAAGGTCATCCAGTGGAGGAAGAAAGTTTGTAAATTGTCTTCTAATAACTTGGATTGGGCTGACCAACCATTAAATGTCACCAGAATATGCTGTGTGAGGACGTATGAGCTGGATAATAAGCTCCTAGTGTAGCTTTAAAAACACTGCAGAGCAGCGCATACTTCTAGTCGGTCTTAGCAACCTTGAAATGACATTTCTGTGAGAAGGTAATTTCTTGTGTTACTGCTAAAGCACTACTGCATAAGTTCCAGCTTTTCTGAAGTTGTGTTTGACATGCATTTAGAGTTGAAAAATGAGAAGGCTGTACATCTTGTCTGGAAGTGTTTCTTCTCACACATCCCCTTCAGTGGAGCTGAGCTGATGGGAACAGTAAAAATTATTAGCAATTCCCTGCATGCTTGGGGTGATTTGAACTGTGGCTGTTACACATGAAATGTTTTGTGGTTTTCCTTCACCTTCCTCAACACTTTCTGCTCTAAAGGAGCAACAAACCATGTTCTGAGCTATGAGATTTGAAAGTCTGACATTTTTGCTGTGTGGGGACGAAACTGCAGGGTAAATGGTAAGCTTAGAGTGACCCTGCTCCTAAAGCTCAGGAAAACTGTGTGCTTGAACCTTGGGGTGAGAAGAATGGTGCTAATCTAAGTGTAAGGGGTTGGAGACTATCTCAGTGCAATCACATCTACTACCTGTTATTCAGATTGCTCCAAGGTAAGCTAGGAAAACCAACCTAAACCTGTCCAGTCCAGAAGATTGCTGAAAGAGCTCCAGTGCTTTAGGAGAGCAGCATAACTGAATATTTAGTGCTGTACTTAACCTTCCTAATAGCAACAGTGCATATCCTCTTAGCCCCTTCCACTTCACAGAAGAATTGTATTTATTTTTCTCCAGTGAATACTTCTTTCATGCTTAGCATTCTTTGCCTTTGTCATAGATGCAGCTAGTACAGTCTTGGATGCAAACGCTTCTTGCTTCAAAGCTTTCATAATGAAAAAAATGAGCAAGAGCTGGACGGTCTCTCATGCCAAGTGCTCACAGTGGTGTTGATGCCTACTGCTCATGTTCCTGAAGTCCAGCAAGGGCACAGCGTGACCTGTTGGAGGTGCTCCAGCCCCCTGACAGGGTGCTCGCAGGGCCTGCAGCCGTGTGGCAGCGCCGAGGAGTGGCTGTCACCAGCCACCTGTTCTGCAGCAGCTGGGCCGTGGTGTAAGGGAAGGTGTAATTGCAAAGCATGGGAGAAGGGCAGAAGCAGACTGTGCTCCAGTGGATCGGTGACTTAGCCATACACTTTCATAGGCGAATGTCTCCCCAGAGATGGGGATC